AGAAGCAAGTAAGAGCTAGTCCTGCTTCTCTCTGCCTAGTCCTCAAGGTCGAGATTTCTGTCTGCAGTTTTTGAAACACATATCTAGGGCCTAGCATTGTCATAACCAATATATTAGGAAATCTCTCTTAGTAAATTAAAAGGAGTTGTGAAATGATTTACTTCCAACTAAACAATCTCTGATTGAGAAAGAGTGCTAACAACAAAAAAGGACCATGTTCTGTGATTGTCTTATACATAACACTTCCTTGTGGACTTTTAAAAAGGATTTACTGAACAAAGTATTTGCCTTAAGTAATTCACAAATTTGTGAAGTGCCTTAATGGGAGAAGGGATATTGTCTGCAGCAACACGAGAGAAAAATGGAGAGACTTTGGAAACAATCACAGTGGCTTTTTGCCATGGTTTGATGGGGGGGAGGTTCTGGTGGCAGGAGAGGGGATTTGCTCCCTGTGACCTCCCTGGTTTTGGAACCGGGTAAGACCCGGTTCTGGCCACCAGATTGGACTGCCGTCCCCCTCAGGGTTGAGCCAATTGGGCACCTCTGCGAATTGCCCTATTTAAGTTGGGACAAAGGAACCGGAAAAGGTGCTTTGCCCAGGAGCGAGGAGAGAAGGGAGGAGGGCACTGCCCCCACTCCTTGGCTCCTGGCTGGGTGGCTGCCTGCACTGGGCCGGCGCCGCCCATGGAGGATTGCAGCGGCAGAGCCGGCTGGGGAACTCGGGGAGCACCCCGCTCCCAGGGTGCCCACTGGGCCGAGTTCACCTGGAGAGGACTGAGATCTGAGAGAAACGGCCACACAGACACCAGGTCAGTGAAGATGGAGCGGGACGAAGTGTGCTGGAGCTGAGTTTCCCCTGCAGCTGGTGGTGAGATGGCAGGTGGCCCCCCGCAGCCCGGACGGGACCGGGGGGGCATGTGGAGAAGAGATGCCTGAGCATGGGGATGGTCATGTTGGGACACATGACAAGGTAGAGAGGCATCTGGAGTCTGTGTGACAACCCATGCCAGAGCAAGTGGCTACAACTCCCTAAGAATCCGAGACTGTGGTAAAGCCCACACTGGGGCAATACATGGGGAAGGATTGCATCTTGCGGGTAGGACTCACGCTGGAGAAGTTTGTGGACTTTCCTCGTGAGTAGGGGATCCAGTGGAGCAGGGGAAAAGGGTGTAAGGACTCCTCCTCCTTTAAGAAAAGGAGCAGCAATAACAGTGTGGGATGAACTGACCTGCACTCCCCCATTCCCTGTCCCCCTGCGCCGCTGGGGGGAGGAGGAGGTAGAGCCGGGAGGAAAAGGAAAGGGGGGGGGGAAGGTGTCAGTTTTAAGATCTGGCTTTGTTTCTTTTCATCCTCTCAAGTAACCGGTTTTGTTTCCCTTTGTCCTTTTAAGTAACCGTTAATAAATTGTTTTGTTTTGAGAAAAGCCGAGTCTGTTTTGCTTGGGACCATGGTTGGTGGGTGCTCCCTCTGTTCTTGTCTTGACCCTCAGTCCATTTATTACATTTTTTTTTCTCCTCTCCACTTTACTGGAGAAGGAGTGAGAGAGTGGCTGTGTGAAGTTTAGTTGCCGGATCGGCCTAAACCACGACACTTTTTTACTATAAGTAGGGCTCCGAGGCACAGGCAGTAAAGAACTAAGTATCATGGTGCTGCTTAAGTGTTGTGCTTAAAGTAAAAGGTATATGGGAATGCAGCTGTCACCAGTGTGAGTGGAACAGTTATTTAACAGCACACAGCATCACTGGACAATGATTTAAACAGAAAATAAAGAACTGCACCGACCAATTGATACAGAAATTGCGGGGGAAATGTGGAATTTATATATTCCAAACTTCAATCTAGTGAGAAGACTAAAATGAATACTTCTAATGGGATAGGATAGGTTGTGGTGTCTTTAAAAATACAAAAAGAGTTAGCTGAAATGTTAAACCACTAGCAATATCTCTCTTAGTGTCAGTAGTCTTTTGGCTAAGTACTGACATGATAAAGAATGATTTTACCTCCTGTGTAGCCAGCTCATATTAAATGACATTCAAGAAGTTTCTCAAAAAATGTAGCTATCTCAAGCATGAAATGTTTTTCTGGGTAGCGTATTCTTATATTGGCTTTATTCTTCATCAAAGCGTCTGGCAGCTTTCTTCAGAGGACGTGATATCAATATGCAATTTATCCTTTCAAAGCCTTTAGGATGATCAATCTATTTCTTTGCTGTCCTTAATTAAACATATTGCTTCAGTAATTCCCAGGGGCAAGGAGGCATTGCGACTACACTGAAATGAAAATGAACTTTGTAGAACCACAGCTACACTGTCTGTGGTTATGATTAATGTATTCTATGTTGTTTTGGTCATAAGTTTTTAGCTCTTTTATTGAAGATACTGTGAGGGAGCATAGGACATAGCCACAGATTTTATTTCTTGGTAAGGTGAAAGAAATCTGAGAAGGTTTTAACATAGATTTGGTTGAAATAAAACGTAGCAAGCTGATGGAGATCTTAAATGTGATCTGTGATCATTCAGCCTTTGGAAGGCCACTCATAATGATGGTAAGTGAGGGTCTCTGCTCCTGCCACCCATTTCTTAGGATAAGGAGCAAATACAAATCTTTCATATTTAAGCATTTTGGAAAACAGACAGCAGCCCTACAATGACTGTCGATTGAGGCACTTGGTAAGAGATATTTGGAGTCGGCACAAAAAATTTTCTTATTTAGTTATTAGTTAGGACACGTCTCCTACCTGCCTTAAGTGTACAGGCCAGTCCGAGTGGCCAGAGAGAAGGTTGCTTTCAAGATATACCGGTTATTTTCTCTTCCATTTTCTTTGGTAATGTGGAAGTGGGTCAGGATGGGATGATTTCTATCACCCATTCTAATCATGATTTTAAATAATCATTTTTCATCTGGCTTTGCATGTGGGCTTTCTTTGCATTCTAAAAAAGAGGTGATATTCATGAGCGTATTTAATGATGCCAGCCGTCACACTTAAGTGATCATAGTGCTTAAGTGTTTGACTTTTTACACTTACTTTGCATTAAAAAATGGTGAAGAATGCATTTCTTGCTAGCTGATACTGCCTTCGTGCAGGATTGTGCAAGGCTGGAATTGGGTGGAAGTTTAAATCCATTTAAAACACACAATCAGCATTTTAAAATAGTCATTAATTCAATTTCGAAATTAAACGCGCTGAACATAAAAATAAGCTTAGCAAAACATGGTTTGTATTGAAAGCAGTTGATTTATTAAGTAAAGGAACCATTACATACAGAAAATGAACTGATATGATTTTTCTAATCCAGCGTGCCTTTGCCTTCCAGAATTACAGCTAGGAGATCTTATCCTTCACGTTTCTTTTTAAAGGGTTACCTTACTAGCCCTTTTACAATGTACAGGATATGGAGGACTACATCCCAAACTGCAAGACAGTAAAATAAGAGTTCTGGAGAAAATGCAGGTGTCTCACCATGTCTCTGATCTCCTCATTTGCTTAGGATTTAAACCATTTTTTTAAATCCAGTGAAGCTAAAACAATTCATTTAAAAATGACTGGAAATGAATGAAGTCTCCAGATGTTAATGGCTTATTTACTTCTACTGCAGTAACATTAAAGAATGCTAATCAAGATCAGAAGTAGGTTGTTCTCTGGGTTGTACAAATATCATAGCCATTTGGAGCAGCTGTAATAAAATGCTTTGTTATCAGGGAGCAAGGTAAAATAGACAAACGAGATTTTTCAGCCATTAGTTTTCAGTCAAGTTCTAAGTGACATTAATTATCCGTAGCATCTTTTACATGCCAAATGAGAGACTATAGTTGATAACAGATGTTGCCTCCATACCTAATGCTAACAGCATTTTTTAAACTTGAAGAAATAATTGCAAATCCTATAATACAAATTATAGCAAAACCAAATGTGTTCAGAAACATTTTAAAGACATTATCTTGATATTCAAGTTAATTTTAGGATTACTATTTATCTTGTCAAGGCTATTTCTACAGCCTTTTTCTTTTTTCTCTCTCATTTTGCCTTTTTCCTTTCTCATTTCTCTTTTCATAAGTTGAAATACATTTTTGCAAAGTATAGCTGCAGTACAGAGTTTCCCCTAAAGCCAAAACAGTACTTCAACTGAATTATGTTAATGACCTAGGTATTGGTCAGTAATGTACAGATGTGGCTGACACAGAGGAAATCACTGATGGTTGCAGTGAATTGCATATCATTAGAGCTGTAGTAACTTGGAAGAGTTCATGTCTGGTGAAATATATGATTTCTCAATCTTATTTAGTTTTGGCACCACTAAGAGTGAGGCATTAGTCATTTCTTAGGACTGCATTAAAGACAGCGTTGACCTGTTCATGATGATAAAGTCCCATAAACATAGCTAGCCTCTCTTCATAGAAACATGTCTTGCACTTCATTTTTCGTAGCATTTTCTTGAGGTAAGAAGGCCTGATCCTTTTACTAATATGTTTCTGAACCCACATATGTAGTATTGATTTTCAGTAAAATTTAGTACCCTCTTCCTTGCTTCCTCCTTTTTCTATTGTCTGAGAAAAATCTGTCTATCTCAGTATGTCCCAATAAAGCCTCTAACATTTACTTCTCTAGATCTGTTTTCCTTTGTCTTCTCATAATGTCTCTTCCTCCTGTCTGGAGGCTGTTATTCTGCAGCTTGTCTGGTGCTTGTTGTCAGCTTCCATCAGACTGATGGATCTCTGGGAAGGAAAGGCAGGACCTCTTAGTGGGCCTCTTCTCACCTCATCTGTGCGACTAAAGATTTGACATTCACTTTCCTAAGATGGGATGAAACTCTATTTTTGAGAAGCATTATGTAAATTTACTGGTTTATGTAAGGAACTCTGAATAATGATGTACATTATGGCATGCTCGTAAGATTAAAGGCAGTACTTTATTTGTGCACCAGCAAAAAAGCAGAGTCCCGAAAAATGTCTAAAAAATAAAATTATTGTAATAGGCTTTTTGTTTTGATGTTTCCATTTAGGTGCTGACCCCAGCACAAATAAAATCAATTTGCCTGGCCATACTAGAATCAGGAAAGCAGTATGCAGTGAAGAAGAAGAAACCGTTCCCACTTATGTATTCCTACTATGGAACAGAATATCTCGGTGAGTAAAACACACCAGCTGCTTTGAAAACGATGTAGTACGGAGATGCTGAGCCAGTAGAGACTTCAGAAATAAAATACGTAAAACCTGAGTTTCAGTCACATCAGAGTGAGAGCAGACAAAATTCATACGTATTTTTTGCATAGCTTGGGGAACTGGAAAAGACAGAAGTCGTAACAAATCATAGTGTCACGCATCTGAAAAGCTTTTATTCCAAACACTACTGTAATATGCATAAAGAGCGAGCTGTGGACTTGACAGGGAATTCAGTCCCAAGAGAAAGTTGTCATGAGATGGCGGCAGGACATAAAGCTACCCTCTCCTTTTGATTGTTGCTGTTCTTTACAGGTGCAGCACATGGGCTTTCATCAATCCTTCAGATGTTGCTTTCCTATTATGAGTACCTGCAGCCAGCAGATCAGGAGCTTGTGTGGCAGAGCGTTGATTTTCTTATGGACCAAGAACAGAACAGCAACTGGCCTCCTGAGCTGGGGGAGACAATCGAGCGGGAGAATGAGCTTGTACACTGGTGTCATGGAGCTCCAGGTTCTTTTCCCATTGATGCTATGAATAGCCAGATTCTGGTCACATTGCTTTTCCATGTTAGGTGATTCCATGTAGAAGATAATCCCAGGTTAAATTTGACTGATTTTGACATTTTATGAGATGCAGGCAAACTGTTTAGGCTTTTTCTTCCAATTAAGAGTGTTTTATTTATTGCTGAAGCAGCTGGGAGGATAGGCATATTTTCTGCCTTAAAAGCATAGGTAATCACAGCTGAAAGAATTCTGGTCAACTCTATGTTTTCCGCCCTTGCTCCCTTTTGTGACAAGACCTCAAAAAATGCTACAGCTGAGTCAAAAGGCAGCATATGGCTGGACAGAGAAACAGTATGCGAAAGAACACAGATACAGCACAGATACACATCTGTGAGTTTTGGGAAGGCCTTCAGCATAGCTTCCCCTGCCCCCTATCAGAATCAAAGTTTAAGCTGCACTTATTACATGGATAATACATAAATTTGACCAAAATATTTTCATGTGAAGGGGAGTTTGTAGTAGCAAGAGGCATTTCTGGATGTCACCGATATAAAACTGCTTTTCAGAGAAAAAGAGAATCAATCTTTAGTTTGGGTTCATGAAGTAAAGGCTGATGTCTGTCAGTTCAGAATCTAATCCCACCCCTTAGCAATTTTGGCTGTATATAATGCTGTATATTGAAATTGCTTTTTTAACCGCTGGCAGAATTTTATTGCTAACTAGCCACACTGGCTTGGTAACACGAATCTAGAAGGTTACAGAAAAATTTACTTTTATTAAAGAATGTCCATAAGCATTGATGCATTGCTTTTAAAGGTTTCTATTTAAATTACAAAAAGTAATGCAGTGATGAAACCTGCAGGGAAGAAGCATTCTTTGTTTCAGTATCTTGAGAGTGGCCTTGGACTTGGGTTTAACTATTAGTGGAGACATATGTAATGAGATTCAACCAAAGTGACAGAATCCCAAAGGGCATAAAGAATTTAGTTTAGGAGATGTTTAGAGACATGTAAATTCATTAATTGCTATTGTTCTTCCCCAGAAAATCCTGTATCTCATCACTGTTCTTGGGTAATAATGCAAATGTAGTTTACAAGAACATGTAGTTTACAAGAACTTTTCAGCTACTTCAGTGTATATTATATCCATACCACAAGTGAGCTATTCTAAACATTTCCTTAGGTGCTTGATTTGGTTATGTATCATATGCATTCTTTTAAGGTTACCATGAACTGAGCTGTGCAGTGCTCTGTTGAAGATTATGATTAATTTATTTGAATCCCCTCTAAAAATAAGCCAAAAAGCTTTCTCTTTTCTTTTTTTAATGGAAGTTAGTATGCGTAATTGTTTATAACTAGAATAAAGCAGCATGAGCTCCACTGAAAAAAATAAAGCAAGTTTCTTTTTCTCATTCAGCAAAAAATTGCATCTGTTGCCAATATAAGAAATTATCTTGCCCATCCTCGTGTTTCTGTCAGTGTAAATAGATGAGGTGAATGGAGATTTGAAACCAGTAGAAGACAGTGCGAAGAGTTTACTGGCTTGCAGGAAAAAATGTGACTACTGTTTTAAATTGATAAAAGCCTGTGAATGTTAGAGTAAACCCTGAAATTCAGTAACGCATTGAAAAGATTGAAAGCGATGGTGTCACAGGGAGTGGACAAGTACATCTTACTGTATGCTTTTTAGCGTACCAGATACTCTCCCCTGCATCCATAGCATGTAGATGTGTAATGTTGACATGTGTAGAGCATGACACTTCAGGTTTTTAGTATATTAATCTTTCTTCTCTTATGTGTTCTATGAAACACTTGACCTACTTATTACAAAAGACGATCTCACTGCTATTTTCCTAGGCATTGCATATCTGTTTGCCAAAGCGTACCTGGTTTCCAAGAAGCCTCAATATCTGGACACTTGCATCCGCTGTGGAGAGCTAACTTGGCAGAAAGGCCTGTTGAAGAAGGGACCTGGAATATGCCATGGAGTGGCTGGTAGTGCTTATGTGTTCCTGCTGCTGTATAGGCTCACCGGAAACTCAAAATACATATACAGGGCACAAAGGTTAGTGTTCCTACCTTTCTGGATTCAGGGTAATACCAGAAACAATCAAGAACATTTATAAAGCTGCTCAGAGTCTGTGATCATGGCCCTCGGATGTAACCTGAGTGTTTAAGCCTCAGGTGCAATTCTAGCTTGTGAGGCAGGTGCGCTCTGCTGGGAGCCCCGCAATTCCACCTGCAGGCTGCCTGCAGCAGGAGAAGCATCGGATTCTCCTGGTCTCCTTCCCTCCCTGCCCATGAGCCTGCAGAGAAACCTGGGCTGGGTGGGAGGAACCGTGTGCATCCAGGACGTCCTGACATGAGGTCAGAACAGCCAAGTTGCGTATCCAAGTCCAGAAGCAGAGTAAAATGTGACGCTGTTTGTTGTATTGATTTGTTCTGATTTTCAGAGCATTTAACACTGTCCCTTACTACTAAACACGGAAAATAAGTACAGGACCTGCTTTGCTGTCATTTTACTGGTTTTTAATTTATCATTCCCAGCTTTAGCCAGTTTGACATTGTGCTATTCGGCTTAGCTAGTGGAGTTAATTCAAATTCGTCCAGATGCAAGCAAGTACATTCCACTGAAAAGTCTGTCACAGTGCTGCAGTTATCTTTTTATTCCTGTAATTTACTATACATATTTGAAAAGATACTATTCAATGTTTGTTACTGTTTTCCTTACAGCATAAAATGAGGGGAAGTGGTATAGTAGTTAGGGTGATTTATTTTCAGCCAATTGCTTTGAAGTGAGAACATTTTATTTGTGTAGTTGTTTCAGCGTTACAGAATTTGTTGCATCGATGTGAAACATCACTTGCATCCTGATGAAATAACAACCAAGATAAAAGTTATTAAAAAGTGTTTGTTTAATAATACGTCTCATAGATATCAGAAAAAGTTTATAGTTCTTGAAAAAGCATAACACATGTACGGCTTGCAAAAGTTTGGCTTTTCTAGGTCTCATGGATCTCAGTCTATCGTGGAAATCAGAGAGGGTAAAATTTCCACATAAAGTTAAATAATGAACATTCTACCTTTTTTTAATCATTGAATGTTATTAAAATGATGTTTTCAAACGACAAGTAAGTATACATACAGGGACATCAAATAATAACAAACTCTCTTTTTTTTTTCCCCCGTTTCTTAGGTTTGCAGAGTTCTTATTTACGGAAGAATTTAAGGCTGGTTCCCGGGCATTAGAAAGTGTATATAGTCTGTACGAAGGTTTCTCGGGAACTGTGTGTTTCCTGACTGACTTGCTGCAACCCAACCAAGCTGAGTTTCCTCTCTTCAGTGTCTTTGTCTAGAGAGTAACATTCTCCAGGGCCACATCCCAATGGAGATGGGAGAGGGCACCTGCGGTTTCACTTAGTTGTCAAGAGAGGCTATTTACAAAACAAGCCAGTGGTACCACTAACGCTAGCCTTAATGTAGCTGGGAGTCAGGTGAAAAAGAAAATACACTGGGGCTTTGGGAGGGAAGTGTGTGGTCAAAAAAAATGGGTCAGTGAAAAAAAAAAAATGGGAGAAGTGATTGAATCTGATGTGGTAGATATTTAGCTATAATAAGAAGCAAAATCTAATTATTCAGGTGAGAAGGGGGCATTATTAAACTTTTAATTTGGTGGTTACACAGGAGGGAAAAAAAAAGCAAGCTAGAATTACAGGGACATGCAAAGAAGAAACAGTCATGCATCCAGTAGGTTTTAAAGAGAGACCTGCAAAAACAAGTCTTCATGCAGCAATGCACTTATCAGGGAGGGTGTTGTAGACATGTCACTACACTGCACAAAGGCAAAATCTGGGATTTTTTACCTAAACCACATCTACTAGTTCTAGTAATATGTATTAGAGATACTTGTATCTTGGAGCTCTTTCATCTTCATATGCATATAATGATAATTAGGTAGATAGCTATGTATTCAGCCTGCAGTTCACTGGTTCATTTCAGCTAGTGGGGTTTCATGTGTGTAAATGAGAACTGAATTTGACCCTTCCTCTCAGAGCTCAGTCTGTGGTGAGGAGCTGGTCTCCTTACTGAATTACTGTAACCATGTCAATTTTTGTCAATACTTTCCCTGTCACAGGGAAGATGAGTGGAGCCATGTAGAAGACTTGGATCGAAAAGTTCTATAGCAGACATAGAGCAGGCAGATGCTTTCTTCACAGTACGGCATTGCTAGATAAGTATTGTTCAGTGATACAAAAGCTTCCTTTAAAATTTAGTTACTTAAAGCAGCATTTCTGAACAATAACATATATATTTCAGAGAATGGAAAATCCAGTTTCCTTGATGAATTGTTCACTACAAACCCTGCAAACAATGCAAACCTTGGGTGGCATACTGATCTTAAGAAAAACCTGGTAACAAAACTCAAAATTGCTTCTTTTCCTGGTTAACAAAATAATGTATATGCCCAAATGATTTGTAGCTATAGGCATAAATGAGTTGCTTAAAACTAGTTGCACTAGCACTTAAGATTGCAATTACATGCTGTTTTATATGTATTATATATATGACATGGTACTTGAAAGCTAAAGAAAATGCTAACATAGATTTCTACTAAAAAAACTATGAAATCAATATCTATATTTAAAATATATTTACTATTTATTTATTTTTATTTATATGCAAATAATGTAATGCAGTTACCTTTAAAGACAGATTGGGAAGACCAGTATGTCAAAAATTGCAGTTAGGGTAGAAAAAGCTGACCTACATGCACTGCCAAACAATGCAGTCTCTCTTCATGCATTCTCAGCTGGAGGAGATTACAATTTCTTTATTTTTAATGCCTAATGGATTAAAGTTCCGATTCAATTTCAGTGAGCCTTGATCAGGCTATAAGTTGGAGCCAGGTCTTGCAATGCTTCGGCATTTTAATATAGTAATCCCATTCCTACTTTTGCCACTGTTATTTTAATGAGATGGCTTGCATTATTATGAGCTGCAGATTAGGATTTCTGCTATTTTGTCTTGCACTGTGCAGCTCTAATTAATTACTTAATCATAGAAGTAACCTTATTTCGTTGGTGAATAAAGCAATGCAGTTCTGCATCAGTTTGTCAGAAATTTAGGGATATTTTGGTGAACGGAAATGTTAAAATTCAATATAGAGTTGTTATGTGTTTATTATTTGTGGGATAAAAGGTCTTTTAAGAAAGCCATTAATGTCACTCTGAGAAGTGGGATGCATGCACATAGGAGGATACATTTCACAGGGAGGTATACACGTGAGGCTAAATCAAAAAGTCAATGGAGATGCGTGTGCTCTGCCCAGCCATCTTTAAATGCTTCTGTTAGGTCAGGGCGAAGTCAATCATCAGTAGTGAAGATCCTAAGTCCATTAGGATTCTTCTCTAGTTGCTTCGTGTGATGTGAGTGTCTCATATATTTCATAACTGGAACCCTTTAAACAAATGTTTAAGGAAGGTGAAACTTGACCTATCCACTTTCTCCCTGTGGTCAATAGCTTTTCAGTCTCAATTTTTATCTTAGGGTAATGTCATTCACCTAAAACATGTAAGTAACAACAGTTGTGCCATAGCATGTAGATAGCTACTGTAACTGTGTTCTATCGTATTGTAAGACAGAGAAATAGGTTTTGTCATGATTTGGACTCAAGCTGTGGCAATCCTGCGTTAATGGCCAGTCATTTTATTTAGAGATGCAAACACAAAACAAAAAAAGCCTAGTGTTTTGGTAACTACACAGTCAAAAAAACTCAAACTCCAAACTTAAGCCTTAACAGAATCCATGCATATCAGCCTAGTAATCACGACCTTTAGATTTCGTCCCCAGTGGCTACTTTTTCATTATCACTGGGCCACAATATTTAATTGTTTCCAGTTAGTTATTTCTCAGGAGACGCTTGAAAGAGAAAATCTTTGCCAAAACCTCAATAGATCTAGAGCACAATAAATCAATACAGCAACTTAGATCCTAACCAAGTCAAGATTGTTGATACTGTAACATACCACATATATTTTAAAATTTACCATAATAGGTGTAAAAAAAATCACTCTTTTATTATGCTTAACTTCTAACTATGGTGTTTGCATTTATCTTTTAATATAATTCTTCATAAATGGCAGGAATATGTTAAGAACTCAGTGTCAGTTTTCTGGTGGCTTTCCCTCAGTGTCTCTTTGTAGAATTAATTCCTTCTGATTTACATTCAGAGAAGACTCCGCTCTGTGTTGTGTTCAGAAGCACCTGCAAAACAATCTTCTGTCTCTGCAGCCTCTCTCCCCATAAAGCCATGTGTTTGGCTTCATTAAATACTAATCCTGTGAGAAAGAAAAGAGTTATTTGAATAAGAGTTAGTCCACCCAACAATGAGAAAACCCATGCAACTCCCAGTTTTCAAAATCTAGGTCCCAAACATCTCTGCAAGTTATGCGAGTTCAGCGCTGACTTCAGCAAGGGCAGCACGTGAACTTTGTTTACTGACACTTCAATCAGTAACAGTAACATAAATACCCAGTCTCATGGAATGCATCTTGTACAATCTTGGAACATAATTATTCATTTGTTTCATCAGACATGGCAGTTTGAGCTCATTCGTAGAGCTTCATGGCTTTTCTTAGATGATCTAGCTGGGTTAAGGTGGCTACCAGACACGCTGTAGCCACAGCTTCTAACACAGTGTAGATACACCCCAGGGGTCTTCTGAAAATGCCAATCATTACATGAGAAGGTTTTTTTCATCTTTTTCTTTCTCTTAATTGTCTATCTGCTTTTTTCCCTTTGTACTAGATGTGCTGTTACATACATGCTGTTGAAACCTTTATTTGTTGCTTTTAAGACATTGACAGGAAAGCAACCTGAGCAGAGCCGTCCGCTTTTCAGTGTAACAAAAAAATAAGGTCCTTTGTGTTCCCTCCTCACTGCTTCGAGAAATCGATCGTGCAACCTTTGCTAGACGTTCTCAGCTGGATGCTCTCTCCTCCTGCTCCCGAATCAGGCCCTAATAAACTGGAAAAGCGTATTCCTGAACAGATCTTGCTGTGACAAAAGGCTGTGTTACCAGAAACTTGAGAAGCCTCTTTCAAAGTGTGAAACACAAGTTACTACGTCACGTTTGCACATTAGTTTCTTACTGTGTTTAGTTTCTGAAGTGTAGGCAATAGGAATTTCAGCGATATAATAGTATTTCTGATTATACTGTTAAAGCAAAGAGGATGCATTGTGTGGGTATTGGTGCTTATTTGTGATGTACCTGTGTTTGTGTGGTGCTGTTTGTGAGTAAAGTTGTAGATTACAAATCAGTTTAAAGAGCTATATACTATTCATGACTTTTGGTAGGTCATCCACAGATTACTGTCACGGAAAAATTTTGAGGGAAACTAGAGCTGTAATGTCCAGATTTAGTGATCTCAGGATTCACAGAGCCAGATGCAATAAGTTACATCAACAGTACAGTTCTAACAAATACATCTTAATTTTTTCCTGCCACTCACAACTTCTCAGCATGATAACGTATTTGTTTTGTGCCACTACTTTTAATATCTGCTTTGTTTGCATCGTTGTTTCTTTCAGTTTCCCTGCCTTTCTTTCCTAACCTATGAATAACTTCAGAAGACTGAAGCAGCAGCCCAGGTCTTTTGTTCTTGAAAATGAGATCGATTAATTTTGCTTAAGAGGGGTGTTCCACTTATTTGCGTCACATTTTTTTACACTCCTAGGTGGTCTCTTCTCATTGGCTCTGCCATTTCCCACCTGCTCTAAGGAAAAATCATTGTACTGTATAACAGCTGTCACTGATGTTTTACATCTTTAGATTAAACAAAAAGAGACTTTCTAGGGAGCATGTTCACTTCTGTAGTATCTCAATTCTATTAAGACAATCAAAAACAAGTGAAATGGCTAAACATCCCAAAATACACATTTAAAAAGTTCTGGGAAATATGCACAAATGAATGCAAGTAAAGTGGTCACCCTTTTCACTACTCTGTGAAATTAATTAATGCCACCTAGATGTTCTAATAATAATTATATGGACATGTAGAGAATATGATAAGAATGCTGGTTAGTTTTTAAAATGCTGTGGAAAAACTGAAATGTAGGTATCCGATGTATTCCAAAACATACAAGTGCAATATGTGCAAATGGAAACTTTCACGAGCAATCAAATTTTTGTACTTGCATCATTACCTGCATATACAGTTATAGCATCTGACAACATGTTGCATGTTTTGTGCAAACAGTGACCTATTTTAGCATATGCGTGCATTTTGAGAATATATCCTTGTTACTTGGACCTGTAAGATCCATGGACAGAGTGTATCTCAGATCTGCCAAGTAAACCTCAGGTGTGGTAATCTTCTA